CGCTGCTAGTCTGGTTATTGACACGGCCACTAACAGACAAAATCCTGGGGTCCACTTCACCAATGGATTTCTGATTATGTGAGATTAGAGAAGTATTTCTTGGGGCGCCTGGGTGGCTCAGTCGGTTAAGCGTCTGACTTCAGCTCAGGTCACGATCTCGCGGTCCATGAGTTCGAGCCCCACGTCGGGCTCTGGGCTGACGGCTTGGAGCCTGGAGCCTGCTTCCGATTCTGTGTCTCCCTCTCTCTCTGCCCCTCCCCCGTTCATGCTCTGTCTCTCTTTCTGTCTCAAAAATAAATAAACGTTAAAAAAAAGAAAAGTATTTCTTGTTTAAGACCATTTGAGTCAGGGTTTTCTATTACTTTTAGCCAAGGGTTTCTCATCCTTGAAATTATTGACATTTGGGGCTGGATAATTCTTTGTTGTGGGAGGTCTGTTGTGTGCATTACGGGACGTTCGGCGGTGCCCTGACTTCTACACATTAGATGGCAATAACACTACCCTCTCCCTCAGCTTTGACACCCCAGAGTGTCTCCAGACGGATTGCCAAATGTTTGGGGTTTAGAGGGGGAAACAATTTGCACCCAGTTAAGAACCACTGTCGCAGATAAAAACATCCTAATGAATGTGAGGGCCTTCTATTTAGTGGGTCCTCAGGCGGATCAAAATCGCTGCTGCCTATGCCCCAGAGTGTTTCAAGGATCAAAGTGAGATGAGGTGTGTGAGAAAAGCAAATACACACAAGGTGTTGCTAATCATTACCTGTCTTTGATGCCGCTGCTGCATTGATAGCAATGTTGTAGTTTCCATTTATTCTTTTAATGGGCAGAACTGTTTAACTTACCAGATGGCCAACGTGGATAGTGAATGGAATTTTCCCTGGGCAAACCTGGTGAGCCCCGCCAGAACTCTCTGGGGCTCTTCCTCCTGCTTAGAAACTCTGATCTCCTATAGCCCAGACCTGAGCTGAACCCCTGATCCCGACTCATCATCCAAGGATGGGGGCTGTAGAGCTCACCCTTTAATGCATTTGCACCGATTAAGAGAGATCTTCATATTGAGCTGCTGAAGAGATCGATGCCCTCCACATAATAGTGTATTCCCAGCTTACACATCTGTGTATTTGAGGCCCACAGCGTCAGGGGCCCCTGGACAACCAGTCTTGGCTCCCGCTATCCTTCCTCGAACCCACCACACATCAAGGCCTCTGTCCTTAGGAGTCCCCTGGCTGTTACAATCAGTGCCTTCATCGTTTCTTAGAGAATTTGTGTCCCTAAAGCGTCACAAATGTCTCCTGGAGCAGGAAGGCTTACAAGGGGAGCTGGACGTTAAATGTGGGGAATTGGGAGCATAAGAACAGGCAAGGGGACCAGTGCTGGAAGTGTTTGCAAACAGTGGATGGATCAGTCACTTAGGTCACTGAGCACTTACTGCATACCAGGCACTAGGGCTGGGACTGGGGTGGGCAGCAAAGGGCATTAGGAGGTAGCCATGGCCCTCACAATCTACTGAGGACCATGTGGTGGACACTGGTATGCTCTCCTGACCTTGTCCCGTATCGTGGTAGGGGACGACTACCCCCACTAACATGGCAGCTACCCCGATTTTGTGCCCCACCCCCACCCCTGCAGCCTATGTGCTTTGTAGGTCACTGACTTGCCTTCTGAACCAGAGGAAGGACACACATCAGGGCTTGGCATGTGACGGTTTGGACTGGAGAAGGCATCCATTGGCAGCTTCGAGGGAAAAACAGTTTTCCTTTGGGGGAGGGGGTCGCATCTTGCAAAAGGGACACCAGGCCCGGCTACAGCCCGATTATTTCCAAAAAGGAGTCAAGCTGAGGACTGAGCCGACATATAAAGGAAAGCTGAGCCAAGAGATTTGCAGGGAACTCAAGCTGAAAGCTTGTGATCCACCTCTGGGCTTTTAGGTGGCATATGTTAATAAAACCTTCTTACTGTGCAAGCCAGTTTGAATTGGATTTTTCTGTTACTTGAATTATGAACTGTCCAAACTGACCCAGAGTTTGGTACCAAGAAAGGGATACTACAATAACCAAACCTCAAAAGTGGCTCAGCCAAGAAGACATATTCGCACAGAGAGCAGCAGGGTGTCTCTACCCAGAACTAGAAAGACAGTGATCGCGGTTTAGCAAAATGGCTGCTTATTCCTGTTTTACCCTGTGATAGAGACCCTATGTGTAGGGAGATGTGACATTTGGAGATCTGGAGGGAAATACTCAGGATGTTGGCTACCTCTGGCAGTCTTTGTTAAGGTCCTAGAAGACTCCAATTTAGAAGGAGGGGTGCCCATTTGAAAATAGGGAGGGATAAAAACCCAGCTTTGCTGAGAGAGGGTCTTTCTGCCAGTGGCCTGCAATCCAAAGTGACTGGACTTCGATAAGCAAGCTCCACTGGGTCGGCAAAGCTAAAGTATCGAGCTAAAGTTAGAACACGGGCAGCAAGTAGGGTGACTTAACAAAAGATTGGGGCCCTGGAAAAGCAGTGCCCCCAGTTCTCAGGTCTCTATGGAGCATCTGATCTTAGATACATCTAGCTTGATGACAGGGACAACTCACTGTGAACATGCAGCTAGGATATATCTGGGGGGCAGGAGCAGACTTGGGGTACCTTCACATCAGAGGTAAAGGAAGATGCCATGAATCTGAGGAGCAGGGCAGTGGGCAAGACACAGAGCCCAGTTGCCAGTTCAAGGATTCTGACCTGAAACAAAATCCAGCTTGAACTACTGGCCCATGGACTTGAATAGAAGAAACCCAGTAAATTCTTTAGGGTACTGACTTGCCAAAGCAAGTGGCCAACTAATGCCTGAAATTGCCCATTCCTTGGGGCAATCCCCGAACCTGTACCCACAAGAAGTGTGTTGTTAAAGCAGTGATACTCCTCCAAAGACATCAACCCTATGCCCACTCAGATTTTAGCAAGGCAGATACACCTGAACCCAGAACTGGGGGCAACTATCTCTGCCAACTGAGGAACTTGCTTTACCATCATGGCAAGGAATTCCCCCAATATTTCCTCAATATTGTATATACTATAGGGCAATGACATCTGAATGTGTTTCCCATTGTCCCCTTCTTCAAATGGAGAATTGCCCTTCTGGAAAATTTTATTGCAGATACACTGGGTTTTTTTTTTCCCCCTAGCACTGACTATGTTGATGGTAGTGAAGTTCAGAATTTAATTTATAGGTTACCATCCCATGAGTTGTTACTTCCAGACATGATGGAGATTATGATGCATCTTCCAGAAAATACAAACTTGAATCTGAATCCAGTAACTAGATGAGTCATAGGGCTTCACCCTTTGAGGGAGGAGGTGAGTCTACATTTGCCCAGTGTGGGTATTTCTGATGACAATGTAAGGGAATGAGAATGTACCGATGTTGGGGCGCCAAAGGGGTGGACTATAGTGGGATATTATGGTTACTATTTAACACTCATCCCCCCCACCCTGGGTAATAATCCTAATTTATCCTAATAAATAATAAATAAATAAATTATCCTAATAATCCTAATATATACTATTACCCTCTCTGGGTAATAATCTTAATTTTGTTCAGGTAAACTTTGCTTGATCTCACAGCTTGTATGGTTCAGAGAAAGCTAACTCCACTCCAAATCTAGGACTAGGGCATATGGCCAACACTAAGCTCACACTGGTGGCCCTGTGTAGACCTTCAAGACTGGATGGGCTCTGCTTGGAACTCCTCAGAGATACGTTCTCTCTGTTTCCTTTTTCTTCCGGGGTGGAGTGTTGAGGAATGTGAATCCTAAAGCAGCCATTTCACTGCTATGAGGGGAACCAATCAAGACTGAAACCAAAACAGGGAGAAAAAGTTGAAAGAATCAGAGAAAATGGAGCTGTGGCCCCAATTGAACCATCCCTGTCCTTATCCTTGGACTTTTGAGTTCTATAATATTTTCTTTAATATTTGATCCAGCTTAAGAGATTTCTGTTACTTGCCACCAAACAACCAACTATTACAGAGTGTGATAAAAGTGTTGGTGGTGGAGAAGGTAGGTTAATTAGCTAAGAGAAGCAATGTTTTTTTTTTCTTTAAGACAACTTTATTGAGATATCCTGGACTTATAGAAACTGTTTATATTAAGGTGTACAGGGGCATCCGGGTGTCTCAGTCTGTTAAGAGTCTGACTCTTGATCTCGGTTCAGGTCATGATCTCATGGTTCATGAGATTGAGCCCCACGTCAGGCTCTGTGCTAACAGCATGGAGCCTAGTTGAGATTCTTTCTCTCCCTCCCTCTCTGCCTCTCCCCTGCTTGCCACCCCCACTCTGCAAAATAAATAAACATTAAAAAAAAACACTCCAGGAAAAAGTTTTTTTAAAAGGTGTATAATTTGATCAATGTATATACATGGTGCAAAGATCACCACGATCAAGCTAAACAACTTTTCCATCAGTTCCATATAGGTATCCTTCTCTGTGTGTGTGTGTATGGTGAGATTTAACTTAAGATCTATCCTCTTAGAAATTTGCAAGTATATAATACATTATCGGTAACCATTATTACCATGCTGTATATTAGCTGCCCACAATTTATTCATCCCACATAACTAAACATTTGCATCTATGACCCACATATCCCCATTGCCCCAACTGCAACCCTAGTCTCAAAAAGCAATGTTCCTTTAAGCACTTAGGGAGGGAAGAGGAGGAGAGGAGAACCTGTTGCAGTTCTTAGCATTAAACACAATCTTTTGGTGGAATTTGCTGAACTCATCCACAGCCATCATAACACATCTCTCATTCCATCCAGGTGGCAATGGATGTGTTGAGGCCTTCAGTGCAGGGCACTGCCCCTGCTATCTGAAAGTCCCCAATAACTATTGGGTGCTGGAAGGAAGCCTGCCATCATCTGTTGTCCCCATCCCTCGGCAGGGCAGTCCCCCATTGTCCCCTCTCGCTGTGAGCAGCTGGCCACCTTATAACTGTGTTCCTCCCACTGCGGTTACAGAAGATGAATCACATGTCTCCCAGGCTGAGAGCCTTCCTCTCTGAACCCATCGGAGAAAAGGATGTTGCCTGGGTGGACGGGATCAGCCAAGAGCTTGCAATCAATTTGGTCACCAAAGGTTTCAACAAGGTAATTCATTGTTTTTCCTATTTCCCCAACTTCTCTCCCCAATGTCTCTTCCCCTAGTCCTGCCAGATGGCAGCTGCCGCTCTGTGTCCCTGCAAGGCGCCATCAGAGAGGAAAGCTGCCACTTGGCAGGGTGCCACAGTCTTCAGTGCTGCTGACCCCTCATGCTTGGGCAGCCTCGAGGGCCAGCAGATGATGGGCAAATTGAATGGCTTTGGCTCAGAGCAGCTGGGCCAGGCATGATTCACTGGGTGTTCCAACACCCAGAGGTCAACAGAAGTGAGCTGGCAGCCCGAGCCTGGGGCTGAGCTGTCAGGACGGATGATTTGGACACACTTCCATCTCCATGAAGAGACTCGCGGGGTCTCACTTGCCCCACCAGGGCACCACCCTGACAGCGGCAGGTGGAGTAACAGCAGACTGGGGGCTACACCAGAGTAAGATACGAGCTTCCAAGATGTCGCTCACAACCCACGAATGGCCTCAAGGGTATCCAGTGGAATCTGAACATTCTTTTTCTATGTAATGATTTGGTTTTAGGGTGCTGGTAAAGCTGCTTGGAACTTTAGGGGAGAATAGGAGACAATCCCAAGAGAACCCAAAGAAAGTGAGCACAGGCAGAGGCAAATGGGAATTCACGCAGAACATTGCACACTCAGTGGAGAGATTTCACACACAGTTATTGCTGTTCGTTTCCTTCAGTTTTTTTTAATGTTTATTTATTTTTGAGAGAGACTGAGAGAGACAAAAGTGTGAGCGTGGAGGGGCAGAGAGAGAGGGAGACACAGAATCCCGAGCAGGCTCCAGGCTCTGAGCTGTCAGCACAGAGCCTGACATGGGGCTCAAACTCACAGACCACAAGATCATGACCTGAGCCAAAATCAGACATTTAACCAACTGAGCCACCCGGGAGCCCCCATTCCCTTAGTTTTTAATGTCAGTCTGCACCACTACGCAGGAAGATGTTACAGAAACACCCAAAGAGGCTGGGAACTGTGGCGTGCACAACTGATAATCAGCGTGGTGTGCCTTCAGTGGGCAATGTACGGCTGCTCCCAGGGGGCATCTGAACTACTGGGCCTGTGGTTTTCTGGTTAACACCTTGCCTGCACCAGCTGCTAAATATTCTGAATATCTACCAATCTAACATCCAACAGGTGATATTGTTAGGAAGCTGGAGATCCGGGACTGAGGTAGATTTGATTCTTTCCTCCAGGATAAAAGATGGGACCAAGCAGGTAGTGAAGTAAGCAAGCCTGCTAGGGAGACAGTTTCCATGGAAAATTCCTCTTTAAAAGAAATGATTGTCGCTTTTTCTTTTCTATTGTGGTGTGCCTGCATTGATAGGAAGGGTTCAGCTCAGTGAATTTTTACATATATATATGCTCATGCCCCCCCCCGCCCCAGATCCAGTGATTGGACACCTCCGGAATGCCATATGATTCCCTTGTGTCTCTCCCTGGCCTGTGTCATCCCCTCACTCTCAGAGGTAACCATTATTCCGGCTTCTAACACCTTCGATTTAATGTTTTTTGCTGTTGTTCGGACATACTCGGCATTTAAAAAAATATTTTTATTTACATATAGCAAATGTCACCTTTTTTAGTACACAGTTCCGCAAGGTTTGACAAATGCATGCAGTCATGAAGCCACTACCGCAATCGAGACCTAGGACAATCCCATCACTCCCAAATGTCCCCCTGTGCTTTCATATCCCCCACCCTCAGCCCCTAGCAACCACTGATTTGTTTCCTATCCCTCTAGTTTTACCTTTTCCAGCCTGTGTTTCCAGCCTAACTGACCAGTTGGCATATTTAAGATAAACGAACGAATCGGGG